CATTAATGAAACTAGTTTCAATACTATAAATAGTTTAAATTTAATATTAAATATTTTTAAAATTTTTATGAAGTTTTATTTTTGTAGATATAATATTAAAATAAAAAATAATCTCCAAACTAACCCTTTCAAAAAAATATTTTTAAAAAAATGTTGCGAGTTAAAAATTTTAAATATAAATTGTCCAGAGTATTTATAAATAATTAGTTTATAAAAATTTTAAAAAATTTTAATATTAAATTAGATCATTCAAGTTAAATTTATATCATTTAAATTGATGAAAAAAATATATTTATCAACATTTTTAATTTTATTATAATAAAAATAAACTAATTCTTTAAACTTGGACTCAGATCTCATCAGCTTGATGAGTGCATGGTGCTCATCAGGATAAAAGCATTGAAACTGGTTCAGACCTAAGACCTATGTGCTATTTAGACCATACCATATACAAACTAAGAGATCCAACTTAACCTCTATTTAATCCTTCAAAAATTAGATCTAGTAAAAAGGATTAGTCTCTCAAATGACAAACCAAAATTTGAATTCTCACTATAAGAGGTACTCACATTTAGTACATGTGTTTTAAATGGAATTGGCCTCCATCCTCCCACTCTTCCCTACTCCTACCCTCCTTGGCTTCTACCACTTTTTATTGAATCTGAACCATTTAGATTTAATCTGGATAATCTATATTTAAATTTAATATTTTTATTTTAGTAATATCAAATATATAAAAATTATAAATTTTTTTGATAAATATTCTTGTCAATCTAACAGTCTAGAATTAACATGAACGGTCCAAATTTAAAATTAAAAATTTAAATTGATTATTCAAATGGGCAATGTAGATATGCTTTGGACAGAGTAGTCAACTTACTAAAAAATTTTAATATTAAATTTAGATCATTTATATTAAATCTTAATTGTCTAAACTGATGGGCAATTTATATAATTTTTATATATTTTTATTCTAATAAATATAAATATAAAATAAAAATATTAAATATGCTTCAAATTTATACCTCACGGGGGTGCAGAGAAGCGCTCCTAGAGAGCCAACTCTATTTTAAACAAGATTGTTTTCAATAATAAAAGAAGTTGTGGGTAAGCTATATATATATATATATATATATAATTAGATAAATACTAATCCCTCTTGAGGTGGCTTCAAGGCTGTACGGTAAGCCAGTGGAGGTTTTTTTTTTTTTTGTGCAGTTTTTGAGGTGGACAAGGCATCGAACAGTAATATTGCTGGAACCGGAATGTTTTCATGTGTTTATGAGGTTATCATCAAAGATCACAAATTTTTGGCTATAGCAAGAAATTTCGATTCATTGGAGACAAGTCACGTGTGGCTGACAAAGATCAATTTTTGTCGTCTGATGTGGCCGTTCAACGAGTTCATGCGTTTTTGGAATCACTTGGTGGTTTCATTTGGAGTTTCTCAAGTATCGCCGTATGTGAAAGTAAACGCGGTCCTCAAATGTTGTGGGTTTCATATTTCAAGAAGTTTGAATGATAACTATAAGCAGTCATGCATGTTTATGTGTTAAAAGGTATCTGATTGAGGAGTTGAACTCTAATTAAAATCTGCTGCATATGTTGCATAACTGGGTCTTTTTTGGGGACATGAGATTTTGTTTCTTTGTGAGTTTCAAGGAATCAAAGTTAATACTTTGTTACTTTTAGAGGCAAGTTCGAGTACTATATTTTTGTGCTCAATTGAAATGGCTTCAAGGACTCAAATGCAAAACCTAGTATGTTAAACAGTGATAATTCTTTTCATTAAAATCAACCATACTTGTGATATATTTTGGTGTGATTCCAAACATGATTTCAGTGGCTTCCACAGCTAGCTCAGCGTATTTCATGTAAGGGCCATATCGGAGCTTTTTCACCATTACCATGCATGCTTTGTGAAAATCTCGGCTTTTTAAATGAATAGTATATACGCCAATGAACTAGCAGCTTCAATTACGTACCTCCATAGTTCTTTTTGTCTATGTCAGATTAATATTAAGAAAAATGATAAAGAAGTCCTAAATAATTTAAATTAAGTTTTAAATGTTAAATTTTAAAAATTTACAAGTTTGGTTCTCAATTTTATAACTTTGTTGTAATTAATTTGCAACTTATTTTTTAAATTTTAATGTGATCAAAAATAAATTTTTTTATTTTTAACCATATTAAAATTTAAAAAATAAGTTACAAATTCATTATAATAAAGTTATAAAATTAAAAATTAAACATATAAATTCTTAAAAAAAATATACATCATCACCCATGGGGTCAATAGCCATGAGTGTAGAATTAATCTTTCCTTGAGAGTCATTCTAATCGCCTGGAAACGTGTAAAGGACTGTAGGTGATTAGTCGTTTGATTTGGGGTCAAGTAAGTTGAGGAATGAGGACAGAGTGTATGGGACTACCTTTGAAAAATCTACAAGATTAACATTCAACCTTTGATTTTTATCACAAAAAGAAAAAAAAAAATCAACCTTTGATTACTTTCCTACAAAGGAGACTTCTACGAGGAGTCTGGAAGAGTGCCATGAAGCTATCCATTTAAGTCCAAAATTACAATAAAAAAATTAATAACATGCTTTATAAATAAAATTAAAAAATTTATTTTCACTCTTTAAATAAGAATGAGAAAGTATTTATTTATATGTTTGCAAAGAAGCAAACCAGCCACTCATGATGGGTGCAGGCACTATAATATTTATCATCCTGATTCGTCAAGTTGATGAGATTTGAACTATTCATATTTTATTTTAGACAATTTAAATTTAAAAATTTTACTTTTTATTTATATTTATTAAAATAAAATTATAAAAATTTTAATAAAGTAAATTTATCATTACCTTGGACAATATAAATTTAATTTAATTGATCCAATTAAATATTAATATTTTTTTAAAAATTTTATAAATTGACTATCTAAATTTATTATAGACAATCTAAGTTTAATAATAAATTTTTTTAGAATTTTTATTTTATTAAATAAAATATTGAAAGTAAAGATAATTTCTAAACTGACACTTTCAAAAAGATATGTTTTTAGAAAAAAGTCGTGAGATAAAAATTTAAACTATAGATTGTTCATAGTATATTTGGATAATTAATTTACATAAAATTTAAAAATTTTTGATATTAAATTGAATAATTCAGATTGAATCATATTATCTAGATTAATGATGAAATAAGTTTATCAACATTTTTTTTTTATTTTAATAAAAATAAAATAAACCGTTAAACCTGGACCCAAATCTCATAACTTTGATGGACGCACGGTGGTGATGAGCATTAAAATTGGTTTCAAAGTGAGACCTATATGCTATCTAGACCATACCATACATTATGAAAGATCCAACTTAACCTCCTTTTAATCCTTCATGGATTGGGTTTAGTAAAATAAATTAATTTCTCATAATACGATAAATCAAAATTTAAATTTTCACTTAAATATATATTCACATTTAATATTTATACTTCAAGTAAGATTGTCTCTAATAATAAAAGAAGTCATGGGTAACTAGAAAAAATCAATAGGATTTATCTTTGTTACAATCAATATATATAATTAGGTAGATACTAATTAATTACTCTCTTAATTTTTTTTTATAAATCATTTTTGTCAATCTCATTAAAGACAATGTAAAAAAAAAAAGTACAATAAATAAAAGTGTGTATAATTTTAAATATATTCATATATATTAAATTTAAAAAATAATATCACATTATTTTTTTCCTTATCATCATGGGTAGTTTTAAAAATAATTTTTAAATATTATATAAAATGTAATATCATAATTTATAAATGAGATTAAATGAATTTTTTAAAACGTATATTATAAGTAAGGGAGCAGGGAGCACCATTTAGCTTGGACACAATAACAGCAAATGTCTACTTATTGCTCTCCCTCCTTTGTATTCGAATCACCAACAGCCCCTCATATATAATTATAGGATAAAGATGCAAATTGAGCCTCAAATTATTTTTTAAAGACTACTAAATAACTTGTATTATAAAATAATGTAAAATAAATTATTAATTATTAAAATCGGTGCATGCATTGCCTTCGGTCCATTTTCACTAATAGCCGTTTACTTTTAATATTATGGGACCCACTTGCTTCATTCATTCTCTTTGAATTTTGAAAGCTCCATTAGTCAACGCCATCGTCATTGCCCAACCAACACCAAGCGAAGCCTGACCTTGCTGTCGACCCGAACTCCATAGCATCTGTCTTGACCATTGGCTTGTTCCTCCTCTCTCTCAACCTCTCTTCATCACTGACTTCGCATTTTCTCTCCTCCCTACCATTGCTTCCTCCACCACCGTCCTTGTCGACTCTGTCACCAGCCACTACCTGTCTGAGCTGATAGAATTATCAAAGATAATAAACCAAACAGTATTGTCGAGAGAGATTGTCGAGAGAGATGATAGATGTGGAGTTCTAGCTAGAGTGATTGAATTCATGTGGCAGAACGATAGGTTTTCCTATGAACTTATTTGGCCTATGAGTTCATCAGAAAATATTTGCATGCTATGAGTATGCAGCGTCCTACTCTCTATTTATTTCACTATTTATTGTAATATAATATTTTTTTTTCTTCAACTCTTCGCATTTTCTCTCCTCCCTACCACCACTTCCTTTACCACCGTCCTTATCGACTCCGTCACCGGCCACCACTTGTCCTACTCTCTCTTCCTTCACCAAGTCAGAAACCTCACTTCCCTTACCCCTCTTTCCAAACATAACGTCACCTTCATTCTTTTCCCTTATTCTCTGAACATTCCTGTTCTGTATTTCTCTCTCTTGTCTCTTGGAGTCATCATCTCATCCACTAACCCGCTTAGCTCAGCCTTGGAGGTGGTTTACTAGGTTCGACTTGTTCAACTTGTCATCGCATTTGCCACCTCTTTTACCAAGGGTAAATGGATTTGTGGATGCAATTGCAAACGATGGTGGAAGAACTCAAAACTCTGGAAGATGGCGATGGTTGAAGGCGAGTGGAAGGGAGCTGCACAATGGTCTATAACAAAGGAAACGAGAGTGTGGAAGATTTGTGGTCATCGTTCGGACTAATGGAGCCTGAACATTGACGCTGACAACTTGAAGAGGGAGGAGGCAAACGGCTATGGAGGATAAGTAGTAGGAGAAAAGAACGAGAGAGAGAAAGAGGGAGAGAAGAAGAAAGGAGCCACATACCACAAGAAAAACTAACGTCCATCCAGTCAAGGGGAGACATTAGATGCTCCACTTTTTTAAGTTTGAGATTTATTTTGCACCTTTTTATACTTTAAACGCTCCTCAAAAATTATTTCAGAGTTAAATTTGCACCTTTATCCTATAATTATATATTTGCTTTTCACTTCCATTCTATTTTGCTAATGCGTTATCAGGACAGACATAAATTCCTTCTTTAACAACGAAATTAATGGGGTTTATCTCATCAGAATCCTACTGGAAGTGGAAGTACGATGTGTTTTTGAGCTTCAGAGGCGAAGATACCCGCAACAGTTCACGAGCCATCTGTACGGAGCTCTGTGTCAAAAGGGAATATATACTTTCATAGACAATGAAAAGCTCAAGAGGGGAGAGAAGATTTCCACTGCACTTGAGAGAGCCATTGAAGACTCTAGAATCTCTGTTGTTGTCTTATCCAAAACCTACGCTTTTTCCAGTTCATGCTTAGACGAGGTCCTTAAGATCCTCGAGATCAAGGATTCTAAGGGGCAACTGGTGTTGCCAGTGTTTTACAACATAGATCCATCAGAAGTACGACATCAGAAAAGAAGCTTTCATGACGGTTTCCTCAAACATGAAGATAACTTGGGAATTACAGAAAAGGTTAGCAGGTGGAGGGCAGCCCTGAGTGAAATTGCTTCTTTGTCTGGCTGGCATCTTAATAACGGGTATGTGTCCGGCATAAAAGTTGCCAAATTTATTCAAATTTCTGTGATCAATTTTACTTATTGTTTTTACGTACAATTCTTCCTTTGATTTCGCCTGAAACCGGACTAATTAAAATAGAGATGAATTCATGTTTTGTTTGGTCTGTGACATGATTCAAACAGGGGCCAACCTGCTTCTTATCCTAAGTAGTTGTGGAAACTTGGTATTTTTAGCCTCACCTTCCTTTATCTAGCTCAAAATACGGACAAACATGCAATATACCAATATATGTGAAAGTATGCAAATTCTACCCACAAGTTAGCCGATATTATTGAGATTTTAAGCTTAAAACTAAGCATTTTATCAGGTATAAATTGGGTTATTAATTTATCATCGACCTAACTATAACTGTTGTTACTTCAATTTTGTTAATTTTAAAATTTGGGAAAATAAAAATTAAAGATACTACTAAGACATTAATTCCAATAACAATTTGATTTCCACGCCAATGTGATGACATAAATTTCAATACAAGGGAACCGCTCATCTGATGACATTAATTTCAATACAAGGGAACCGCTCATCTGATGATTTCTAATCCTAGGTATACGACAATTTGTCTTCTACAATTTTAGCCTTATACACTCTGATGCTCATTACAATTTTGTGCCTTAATTTCTAAATCCGGTACCTTGGTTTCTGATTCATCTTGTGATAAAAAGAAAGGGCAACAGCCATTCATCTTCATGAGTTTAATTTACACGCCAAGCAGGTGCGTTGCAGCCATATGGCTTGCATATATATTCATTTATTATCAGATACTTAGAAGCTTCTTCTTTGGATTTATAATGGCAGGAATGAGCCTACATTCATACAAAGAATTGGTGAAGAAATACTCAGTAAGCCGAACCGCACACCTCTGAAAGTAGCTAAACATCCTGTGGGCTTGGAGTCTCCTTTAGAGGACATAAATTCATTGTTGGGTGTCCAATCAGAAAATGATGTGAGGGTTATTGGAATCCATGGTATTGGAGGAATAGGTAAAACAACTTTGGCTAAAGCTCTCTATAACCAGATCTCTTATCATTTTGAGGCCAGCACATTCATTGCAAATGTTAGAGAAATTTCAAAGCAAAACTTCGGCTTAGTTCAACTACAACAAGCTCTTCTTTCAGAAACACTAAACTATAGAGACTTGAAGGTTGGCAATGTAGATAGAGGAATCAACCTCATAAAGAACAGACTCTGTTCTAAAGGAGTTCTCATAGTTCTTGACGATGTAGATTCGATGGAGCAACTTGAATCATTGGTTGGAGAAAACAACTGGTTTGGCTTAGGAAGTAGAGTTATCATAACAACTAGAGATGAACACTTGTTAATTGCTCACAGTGTTGAAGCAATCTACAAGGCTAAGGAATTAAGATATGACCATGCTCTTGAATTGCTCAGCTGGTATGCTTTCAGAAAACCTTATCCTCCCACAAACTATGAGAAACTTTCAATGCACATATTAAACTATGCCAAAGGTCTTCCATTGGCTCTAACCGTGTTGGGGTCATATTTAAGTGGGAAGACTATAGTAGAATGGATGAGTGCGTGAAAAAAACTGCAGAACACTCCAAGCAAACTGATTTCTGAAGTTCTTAACATCAGCTTGGATGGTTTAGAGGAAAATGAGAGGGCCATTTTTCTGGATATTGCATGCTTTTTCATAGGAGAGGACAACGAGTATGTGAAGAAGATCCTAGAAGCTTGTGACCTGCATCCAGATATTGGAATTCGAGTTCTTGTGGAGAAGTCCCTTGTTGCTGTTGATATGGACAAGCTTTGGATGCATGATTTGATTCAAGAAATGGCCAAAGAAATTGTTCTATCTGAATCCCCAAAAGATCCTTGTCAACGGAGCAGATTATGGTTTCATCAAGATGTTCTTCAAGTACTGAAAGAACAAAAGGTACCCTCTCATCTTAATTTGAACCTATTTATAAAGCGCCAATAATTAATTGCTTCCCTGTAGAAAAACACTTGTCTTAATTACAATCATACTAGATGCAGTACAAACCTCAAATTATACCAAAATATATTGTATTTTATTCTGTTATGTATTCACATGTGTATAACTCTGCTCTTAATTATTAGGATTTGACTTTACCAAACTTTTTTTTTTTTTAAATTATGTCTAGCTAATTCCTGCATGTGCATAACCAGGAAAGGAACAACATAGAATGCATAAGGCTAGACATGCCTGAAGCAGAAAATGTGAAGATCAGTGGCAAAGCCTTGGAGAAAATGAAAAAGCTTAGAATTCTTATGGTTGGTAATGCAAACATTTCAGATGGTATTCCATATCTGTCTGATGAGCTAAGGTTAATTGACTGGTCAAGATACCCTTCTTCAACTCTGCCACCAAACTTCTACCCAAAGAGGCTTGTTTCTTTAAAGATGAATCATGGCCGCATCAAACATTTATGGAAGGGAGTCAAGGTTTGAAACATCTTTTTCTGCAATTTATGTTTGCTGCGTATAATTGAAACGAAAGTTCAAAAAAACTGTTCTTGTAAAAGCACCATGAGATGTCATTTATGGAAGGTCATGTACTTTGATTGTATTTTGTTTTTAATTCTTGTAGTTTATTTTGTTGTTTCTAGTTCCTATAATTTGATCAATCTGCAATATATTTCAAAAGTGCTTATGAAGACCATGAGATGGCAATGAGGGAGATAATTTCGCTGTAACTCTACCATCCTCTTTGTTGACATGATAAAAGTATGTTGATGCTGTGAAATGAATTGACTAGGTATGATTAAACATAAAAGGTAAATAAAATTAAAAAAAAACTATCTTTTTATATTTGGCTTGAATAGAATGTGAGAGACAGAGACAAAATTAAATACACATAACAAAAAGGTTAACAGAGTTAAATGAATGTCAACAAAATTCATTCTGTCAAGGTCAAACCATGATCTTTATGTGCATTTTTAAAACTACAAGGATTAATATTGTAGGAGAGGATCAACTAAAGGGACTGAGAGCAACGAAATAAAACTATAGAGACTAAAAACAAATCACAATCAAAGTATGGGGACTTATTTTTATACTTTCCCAAAAATCAATATCAGTTTGGATATGATTTTCTTTTATTTTAACTTGTCTATATTAATTTAGGTTAAAACTAAGTCAATAACTTTAATTTTTATTTTGTTGATCATACAATAGTTTTTATTTCCCTAGTTCCTTTAGTCTGAACAATCCGCAACGTTAGTCCTTATAATTTTAAAAATGCATATAATGACCATGGAATGGGCATTGAAAGTGATAATTTTGCTTTAACTCTACCATCTTACATGATAAAAATATGTTGTTGACATGAAATAAATTGATTCAGTATGATTAAAAATAAAAGGTAAATGAAAAAAAACTTCTTTTTATATTTGGCTTAAACATAATGCAAGAGATGAAGACAGGATTATAGAACACGTGAGCAAAAGGGTTAATAGAGTTGAATATATGTCAACAAAATTAACCTTGTCCATGTCAGCCCATTGTCTTTATGTGCATTTAAAATTACAGCGGCTAATATTGCAGAAGGATCAAACTAAAAGAGGCTGAGAACAATGAAATAAAATTATAAGGACTAAACCAAATCACAATCGAAGTATGGGGACTTATTTTTATATTTTCCCAAAAATCAATATCAGTTTGGATATGATTTGCTTTTATTTTAACTTGTCTATATTAATTTAGGTTAAAACTAAGTCAAGAACTTTAATTTTTATTTTATTGATTATACTATTTAATCACATTTTGATATCAATGATGTTACAGATATTTCGAGATCTGAAGTTTTTATCCTTTAGCTGCTGCGAATACCTCTCGGAAATTCCAAACTTGTCATTGATTCCACAGGTTGAGAGTTTGAGTCTAGACCATTGCAAAAGCCTAGTGGAAGTTCACGAGTCTGTGGGATCTCTTGAGAAGCTTGTCACCTTAAAACTTGTTTTCTGCTCGAATCTCAAGACTCTTCCATGTCGTTTCAAGTTAAAGTCTCTACGCTCTCTTCTCCTTACAGGCTGCTCAAACATCCGAAACTTCCCTGAGATTGTTGAGAAAATGGCAAGTGTTGAAGAAGTCCTTCTCGAAGGGACTTCTATAAAAGCATTGCCTCAATCAACAGAATATCTGATTGGTCTAGAAGTGTTGCTGTTGGATTCTTGTCAAAAGCTTGAGCATCTCCCTTGCAGCATTGAGAAATTGCAGTGCCTTGTTAGTCTCTCTCTCTCAAACTGCCCTAGAATTAGAGAGCTTCCAAAGCTTCCACTGAATACAAGATTCATGTGGACAAATAATTGTAGATCATTGCAAAAGTTTCCAAATTTATACAGCACATCAAGTTCTATTCCTGGTCTAGACGACTTCCAACGTTCATATCATATGAGTTTCATCAACTGCCATAATCTGATCCATAAACAAGTCCAAGACCAGATAACAAATCGTTTATTTGATGAGGTTGCCCTCTTCTCTTCTTCTTCCTCCGTGGATTAGCTTTTATATATATATATATATATATATATGAATACATTCAGCTTAACATGATCGGAAAAGTTAATTGCGTGAGCTTACACGCACATATATATCTGCTCTCACAGCCAACTTTCATGCTTTACAGGCATCTCAATATGAAATCATGCTTCCTGGTGGCACGGTCCCATATTGGCATGACCATCACAGTACTAATGGATCGATATCTCTTGAGGTGGCTTCAAGGTTTAATGGTAAGCCAGTGGAGTTGTTTTTTGGTGCTGTTTTTGATGTGAACAAGACGTCTAACAATACTTTTCCAACTGGTGCATTTTCATTTTTTGTTGAGTTGGCCATCAATAATCACAAAACTCTTGCCATAGCCAGAACATTTGATTCACTGGAGACAAGTCACGTGTGGCTAACAAAGATTAATTTTGGTAATGTGTTGCGGCCCTTCCTGTGGCCATTCAACCATGATATGCATTATTGGAATCAGTTTGTGGTTTCATTTGGGTTCTCTCAAGTATCACCAAATGTGAAACTAAACGCAGTCCTGAAATTCTGTGGGTTCCATATTTCGTGCAAGCAGGATGGGTATTCAATTGATCATACTTTGGTCAAAATATGAATGATAACAGTTAACCACACCATGGACGTGTGTATTTGTGTAAAGGGTATCTGATTGATAACTTGTTTCATTATGATTAGGATGTCAAAACTACTTATGGTTGTAATATGATGATTACCCTAGCGATTTAAAATTAATATTGGTCCATGCTGCTTATATAATGCCAACATTGGCCTCAGTTAGAATAAACCCTATCTCGTGATTTTCTCCATATATTTGTTCAAGACTCATGCAGTTCTTTTACCGCTCATAAGTTCTGAAAAAAGATTCCTTCAAAATTGCCCTTGTGAATATTAAATATAAAATTTATTGGATTCTATTTATAAGTTACGATAATTTCAGCTCATGTAGGACTCGGTGTGTGTGTGATCACCGAGCGAAAACCAAACCAGAGTCGATGCGTTTCAAAATATACAAGGTGATTCAAAAATCATTCATGTTAAGCCGCAATGCATTTCGCTCCAAAATTGAATTTCTATTCAATCTATGCAATTATTACATCACATTTTCAAGCGGTCTCTGCGTCGTGCTGAGACGATCTTCCCCCGACTCAATCCTGGTACGATGAATTTATCACTTTATTATCCTCTTCTGTTGATCGATGCACTATACAAGCTTGCAATTGCAAAGATCGCTGGAGAAATGTATGAGCTTTGACCAGCTCAAGCGAATCCATGCCCTCTCTGTAACTCTTGGAATTCTACCGAATCTCCAGTCCTTGGCTTGCAAGCTTCTAGAAACTTACAAGAATTTGGGCAAAACTCTAGACGCTCAAAATGTCTTCAACCAGATTCAACGCCCAGACGTCGTGTCTTGGACATCCCTCCTTAATCTCTATCTCCATTGTAATCTTCCCGCCGAATCCCTCGCCGTCTTTTCCCAGTACATAAACAGCAGATTCAGACCCGACAGCTTTTTGATTGTCGGAGCGTTATCTTCATGTGGACGTGGCAAGGATTTGATCAGAGGGAAGGCCATTCATGGGATGATCTTGAGAAATCATTTGGACGTGAATCCTATTGTTGGTAATGCACTGATTGACATGTATTGTCGAAATGGGAAAATTGAAGTGGCTGTGTTGGTCTTTGAAAGGAAGAGCATAAAGGATATCTTTTCCTGGACTACCTTGTTTAATGGCTATATCCTGCGTAATGATCTGCATTCTGCACGTCAATTGTTCGACGAAATGCCTGAGAGAAACGTTGTTTCTTGGACGGCTATGATCACTGGCTATGTTAGAGGAGGAAATCCAGTTCAAGCTCTTGAGCTCTTTCAGAAAATGGAGGATCGTCCAAGTTCAGCTACAATTGTGGCAGTGCTCTCTGCATGTGCCGATACTGGTGCTCTTAATTTTGGTCAGTCCATCCATGGAAATGTTGACAAAACAAGCCTCAACCGGGATGTCACGGTGAAGAATGCTTTGATGGATATGTACTCTAAAAGTGGGAGGCTTGACATGGCTATAAGAATATTTGACGAGATCTTTGAAAAGGATGTATTTTCATGGACGACAATAATATCAGGGTACGCATATCATGGGAAAGGACAACATGCTCTGGAGGTGTACTCTCAGATGTTAGAATCAAAGGTTACTCCAAATGAGGTAACCCTTTTGTCACTTTTGACAGCTTGTAGCCATTCAGGGTTAGTTCTCGAGGGGAAAATGTTGCTCCGCAGAATGATTCATTACCATCATTTGAAACCAAAGATTCAGCACTATGGATGCTTAGTGGATCTGTTAGGCCAAGCAGGGTTTCTGGAAGAAGCAAAACAGATGATTGAGCTCATGCCTATTGAACCTGATGCTGCGATCTGGAGGTGCTTCCTCACAGCTTGCTTAGCCCATGGAAATTTGAAGTTAGCTGTGACAGTAGGAAGGAAGGTGATTGAGCTATTGCCAAGTGATGTTGGCGTTTATATGCTTCTGTGGAATGTGTATCATGCTGCCAACATGTGGAAAGAGGCATTAGAAATAAGGAAGCTGATGAGGGCTCGTAGGTTTAGAAGAAAGCCTGGTTGTAGTTGGGTTGAGGTGAATGGTATAGTTCAAGAGTTTCATGCTGATGACACATCGCTGCATGTTTGCTCTGAGCTTTCCTTATTGTTAGAAGACTTGCAAGAGCACTCAAAGACAGACCTTTATTGGAAATGATTCATGCAAATTGACGAGTTTTATAGCTCTTCCATTCATTATGTAATGAGCAGGAAGTTCCATGTGGAAAAGTTTCAGCATCTTTTTAGAAAATTTCTCTCTTCATTTGGATTGGGTCGGCTAGCTACCGCACAAGGATAGTGCATGCATGCCGTTCATGCAGATGGTTCATGTGGCATTACCGTGCATGAAGGAGAACATGTGTCTTCATATGTTGCTTCCACGAAACGCAAATTAAATTTTCTGATCTGGTGCTTCAAGGAGTAGATGTTGTCTCCATATTCAAGTAGTCGTGTAATGAATTAAGATATGAATTTTTATTAAGAAAAGTGTCAACATTTAACACCCAAAGTATCTTAAATTAGTCACCTTCAATGGAAGAATATATGTGATAACAACAAAAAAAATATAATTTATTATCACATAAATATTAAAAATTTAAAACTATTTTGTTACAAAATTTATTTAATAATAAAAAGTATAAATATACCATAAATCTGGATCTCTAGATTTAATGTTATTTTTTATTATTTATTTTAAATTTTTAAAAATAAAAATTTATATAAATTATATAAAAAATTAATAAATCTATTTACTAGTTTGAACAGTTCAGATTTAATATGAATGATTTATATTTAATTTATAAAAATTATAAAAAATTTAATATTAAATCTATACTGTACAAAATATGTTTAAAAAGTCTATTTATAAAAAATTAATATTAAATGTGAGCTATTTAATTTAAATTTGGATCGTTCATACGGGTGAACAAATTTATTAAAAAATTTTATGATTTATACTATGTTTTTCATTTTAAAAATATTTTTAAAAAAATCATTAGCAGAGGCAACTACTTACTAGAACCACAGCTAGACCAAGAGGATAACTCGACGACGAAAAACGAAAGCGAACAGAGCCAACATGTCTGGTTCTGAATCTCATGCTCCGGTGGCTCTCCTCCCTGGCGCCGGTGTGGGCCACCGTTTCTCTGACTTGCGGGTCTCTCAGTCGCCGTCAAGTCTTCCGATCCTTTCTGGCTCCGATTTGAAGCTAAATATTATTTATAAAAAATTATTTTATATAGTATAAATACAAAATCGAAAATTTAATAGCATGCTTTCATTAATATGGATATTAAATAAAAATTGAAATCCATATTAATTTTATTTGAAATTTACTACAAGTCACTATGACACTATAGGAAATCTGATTCCCAAATACATTTGCATTATTGATTATAGAAGGGGATGAACTGATGAAGTAATCATGAAAGGGCTTGATGTGGCCCAAAAAAATACTAATAAAAAATAAAGAAAAGTGAGAATTACATGCAAGTTTTAAATTAAAAAATAATAATTAGTCCGCTCTTGATCTCAGTGGTTTGTGTTTATATTTGTACTTCAATTTCGTTGAAAGGTGTCATTCTTTCCGTGAAAGAAAAAATAAAATAGAAGACTCAGAAATCGCACATTATTTTATTAACCAACCAAAATTATAGAACTTTGGATGAAAATTTTATATCATAAAACTAAATAAAATATCCCGTGGCAACACATTGAAACAATATTAATACTCAAATTAATTTCTTGTGGTGGCTTAATTACACCAGCGGAATAGCGGATGCCGATATATTATCGTTAATTATTGATCCTGTTAGGGTGTCCAACTAAACTATTACTCCTTCCATTTTTATATATATATATATATATATGATATTTTTAATCAAATCACACAAACTAATAAAAATGAGTTATTTAATTAAAAATATGATAATATTTTAATTTTGTCCTTAATTACTATAAATAAAAAATAAGTTTTTTTAAAGTAAATTAATGAGTATATTTATCTTTTTCTCTTTTTAATTTAATAAGGATATAATGATTCATTTATTAAAAAATATGCTAATAATTTTTATATTTAAAGATAAAAAATTAAAAAAAAATATTTTATATATAGAAATGGAGAGAGTAAGCACTAAACGATCGTGAGTTAGAGATTTCTGGTGACTGGCTTTTTAACTGCGCCACACTAAAAGTCTAAAAACACATTGACACGATATCAGTACTCAAATTAATTTCTTGCTGTGGCTTAATTTCACCTTATTATTTTTTATTATACACTGGTTTCTTCTTCTTCTTCTTCTTCTTTTTTGAGACAAGTATATTTGAGTCATGACTGGACATAAATGTAGGTGCTTTTCAGTTCTCTGGATAGAATTTCAAATCCTGGTTTATCATATTATAAGATACCAGTCATTTGCGCTAAACACAATTCCGTTAGTATATTTTCATACTATTGTTTTCTATCCTCAATGTGCGTATTAAAAAAAAAAATTGTGAATTAAAACTTGCAGGGCACAGCCAACACAATCATGAATGGGCCCCTCCTTCACGTTCAATTGTTGGCAGTGTTTGAGATCCAGAATAAATTTACATATGTAGTGCTAGTACACAAGAGACTTGCTTGTCATGTGCTGCATTACGTGCAAAAGGATATGCAAGTTTCTTATTTGGGAAAATTTTATTGAAAATGACTGGACCAACGATAATAAATAAGACAATTTCTGATTTCTAAAATTTTACCATAAGTCTAGAATATTAAATTAAAATTAAAATTATATAAAAAATGATAAGATTATCCCTGTTAAAAGAGAAAAGAAATTTAACAAAAAAATAAACTATAAATATGTAAGTTTATAAACAAGTAAAATATAATAATGAACAAGTGTTTGAAGAATAATGAACAACATACAGTAAAAACATTAACAAATCATGCTAACATAAAAGCAACACATAAAATTAATTCAAATAAAAGTGTTGCAATGAATAAATGAAGTAAAATAATGAACAATAATGTAAGAGATAATGAACCACATATAATATGAACATCAGTAAGTGGTGATAATATGAAAGCAACACTTAAAATTAATTCAAGTGAAAGTATTACAATAAATAAATAAAATATGATAATGAATAATAATTTGAAAGGTAATGAGCAATACATGGCAAAAATATAAACAAGTCATGCTAATAAAGAATTTTAATAGAAATAATTTTATCATTTTTTAAAAAATTTTAATTTCAATTAAATATCCTAAATTTGTGGTAAAATTTCAGAAATTCAAGTGTTTTTTTTTTTACTATTATTATCTCTCATCCAGATCTACAGTAAAATTTTTCCTTTCTTATTTGCAGCAGTCAAGGGCTGTGCCAAAAAACGATCCTGTACAATCCGGTCCAACCCGGATAGCCCGGTCTACGAAACAATAAAGATAGCGTTTGACAGCTAGTTAGCTACTAATAAAATCGCCTTATCTCTTCACAGTTCCCACTCGTCAGTACCGTTGGACGGACTTCAACCACCGAAACCTCATGCAACAGGTGGCTACCAATCTCTCTTTTCCTGGATAACCTCTTCTTCCCACTTGCCTCAACCATTTATATTAAATGTTTAAATGCGAAAATAAATTATTCCAACTTGACGAAAATAAAACAAATAAAATGCTAAAATACTCGGAACGAGATCTCCTCCTCATCCCTTCTATTCTTTTCTTCTCCTCATCGTATCTCCATTTATTTTTATTTTTATATGATAATTATTTTATAAAATAAATAAATTTGGATCATTTATTTTATTATGAGGAGAGGATTCGGACCCAAAGTACTTCAATACTCTCTCCTGTGAAGGAGAATCACTTCATAAACTACTGACCTGGACAGCTAGAACAACTCAGACCGCGGAAAACGAACGCGATCGATCAGAGATTCAGACCCAACATGTCTGCTTCTGAATCTCATGCTCATGTAGCTCTCCTCCCCAGCGCCGGCATGGGCCACCTCACCCCGTTTCTCCGACTTGCGGCTCTTCTTGCCTGCAACGACGTCATGGTCACTCTCATCATCACTCGCCCCGCCGTGTCACTCGCCGAGTCACAGCTTCTCTCTCGTTTCCGATCTTCTCTTCCTCAGGTCAAACTAGTTGACTTACACCTTCTGCCACTCGATCCAACCACCGTCAACTCCTCCGATCCTTTCTGGCTCCGGTTTGAGGCTATTCGCCGATCCTCTCACCTTCTCTCTCCTCTCATTCTCTCCCTCGAGCCCCCTCTCTCTGCTTTCGTTCTCGATATGACGTTGATCTCTCCTGTCATTCCTGTCACTCATGCTCTCTCACTTCCTTCCTTCATCTTCTTCACTTCCTCTGTTAAAATGCTCTCTTTCTTCTCATATTTACCTACCGCTTCGTTCTCAGATCATGATGATCTTTCCATTCCTGGGATTTCACCAATCCCCAGATCTTCCATCCCTCCTCTGCTTCTCATGCCCGATAGTCTCTTCGCCAACATATTCTTCCAGGACAGCGCCAACCTCGCGAAACTAGATGGTGTTCTGATTAACTCCTTCAAAAATCTAGAACCAGAGACAATAGAGGCCATTAATGGCGGAGAAATACTCAGAAAATTGATTCCTCCTGTTTTCGATATCGGTCCATTCATGCCGTGCGAGTTTGAAAATGTGGATAATGGGAATTCAGTGGTTACTCCATTGAAGTGGCTCGACGAACAACCTCAAGATTCGGTGGTTTACGTAAGCTTCGGCAGCAGAACGGCCATGAAAAGGGATCAGGTCCGAGAAATAGGAGACGGGTTGCTGAAGAGCGGGTGCAGATTTCTGTGGATAGTGAAGGACAAATCAGTGGACAGAGATGAAGAAGAGGAAGTAGAAGAAATAGTAGGACGCGAACTCATAGCGAAGTTGAAGAAGAACGGTCTGGTGGTGAAGACGTGGGTGGACCAGAGACAGATTCTGGGTCATCGATCTGTGGGAGGATTTGTGAGCCACTGTGGATGGAACTCAGTGACCGAAGCAGCTTGGTACGGAGTGAGAATTCTGGCATGGCCTCAGCATGGAGATCAGAGGATAAACGCAGACGTGGTGGAGAAGAGTGGGTTGGGGGTGTGGGAGGAGAAGTGGGGTTGGGGTCAAGAAGTTAAGGGAGAG